GTGTACGGTGGTTTAGACATTTTTAAGAGTTGTGTTGATACTTGATTCTATTAAGTAGAACGTTTTTTAACAAAATTACGTCGTCACATATACATCGTTATTTTTGGCTGATGATGTTTGTTTGGAAGAGGATTCACAGAGTTATAAGAGGATGGTTCACGCAGTCGGACCAGAGTTGTTTTATTTGAGCGTCGTAGTTGGTTTATGCAATAATCGAAATAAATGTCTGCTGTGGTCGAGTTCATGAGTTTGATCCATATTGATAGTTGGTTTATTTATTTACAACAATCGATTTTTGTGTGCTCGGTAGTACATTAAAATATATTTTGTAGTCTTTTTTAATTTAGCGTATGGATTTTGCATTTTAAGTTTATTTTTGATGATATTAATGTATTGTCATTCAAATGTATTTGCAGTCTATTTAATCATTTTTTATTATTCTGCATTTTTTATTTTGTTTCATGATTTTAGGTTTTTTCGATGGCGAATTTCGTATGGATTTTGTTGAGGTTTGGTGGGTTGGTTGCTATAAAGAGGTGTTTACGATGTAATGGCTCGGTAACTTCGGTTAAGTGTTAAACCGTTGTAATACAGTAGTATACTATTATGAATACCGTATGATACTACCATTATCATTTTATTATACTAATATGAGATTATTAATGTACTAGAGTTTTTTAATTCGACATATTGGTTTGATTGTGTTATGATGTGTTTTATGTATTTTATCAAAACCCTAGATTGAAATTATGAGATTTTTAATGTACTATTTTATTGGTTATGTTGGAATACTTTACGTTGGTTTTGTTCTCAATGTTCTTGTCATTTCAGTGGTATATTGTTTGTAACACAATTTCATATCACTACTATAACCGTAATATACTATCATAGCAGATTAATGTACTATATTGAAATTATTAATATACTATGTGGTTGAATAATACGGAATCCATAGTCGATTAACGAGATCCATAGTCGAATTAGATCAATAAGATAGTCTATTACATGATATAAGGAAAATTACCCTAATTGATTAGTATTTCAAACAAACATATTATTCAGTTTCCATATATATTATTATTTTTTCATATATATTATTATTTACCCTAATCGTTTTCATATAATAAGGAAAATTACCCTAATTGATTAGTATTTCAAACAAACATATTATTCAGTTTGATATTATTTTAAAAGGTAAAGTAACGGGATTTGTGGGATTTGATTGAGGGTACTTATGTAATTTAGAAAAGTTTGGGTTTTTATCAAAATGGCAAATTTAAGTTTGGATCTACCCCTATTATTTAAATGTTTAAGGGGATTATATCTAATAAACCCTTAAAATAAAACGAAATTTACAAATAATATAGCAAGTAAATGATTAGAAGATATACATAATTAATATTAATTCACTTCATCACAATTTTTGGACATAAAAAGAAATTGCGGGAGCCCAAGTCTATCAATTTTTCTTCTGCCTTCAAACCTGCATTAGTTAATATATTTCAGAAGGTTTAATCTCATTTTGCACTCTTAGGCCCATTTGGTTGGTAAGATAAGATTAGTTAAAATAAGATTAAATAATCTAATGAAATCCAATTATTTTATTGGAGCTTGCAACGTCAAAAAAAAACTTATTAGAAGGCAAGATAAGCCATGATTATATAATTTTAGCGGATCGACCCGACAATTTATTGGGATACCAAACATGAAATTAAGTCCAACTATTTAGTTAAACATAGCTTATCTTGGTAACCAAACGGGGCCTTATTATATAACTTTTTTGGCACTTTGCACCCTTAAAAAATATTAATAGCACTTTGGACACTTTAAAAGTCGAAACACAATGAATTATGCATAATGCATCTCGAATGAATTTTTAAAGTTAATAAAAGTAATGAAAAAATTTAGTAGTATTTTTTAGGATAACAAATGTCAAATCTTTTTTTCCTTTAATATTCATTAATTCTTTTGAAACTATAACGCGCAAAAAATAAAAAACATCTCAGCTATATATTTTAAAAAATTACAAAAAAATATTTAAAAATAAAAAATAAAAAATCTTTCAGCTATTTTGTTATCAAGTTATTTGAAAATTATATTTTCTTCCAAAGATTTCTACCAAATATTTTCAATGATTACAATAAAATATCCATTAATTGAAAATTTTAGTGATATTTGCTTTTTAGAAATTATAGTTTTTTTCGGTAGCTCATTGTGGATTTTTTTTCTCTCTACTTTACGCTCGAATTTATGACGGAGGTAGAAGAAAATAACAATTTATTTTGCACCCTGGAGTAAAAAAACCAATAAAATTTGAAATTATCCTCATTAAGTTTAAAATATACTATCTATGGTGCATTGTGAATGACTTATTGTGTTTCAATGGTGTAAAGTGCTACTAATTCTTTTGAAGGATGCAAAGTGCTAAAATACTAAATTTCAAGTTGGGATTAAGCCTATTTCAGTACAAAAAATATTTTTTATATATGTATGTATATACATGTATCTTGAGAATAATTGAATATTACGACCCGTTTCTTTATTTGCTTAATTTGTTACAAAGTCCTTTTTATTTTATTTTTTGTTAAATGTGGAAATATTCCCATCATACATAAAATTACTCCCTCCAAAGCCCAAACAAAAAATATAGAGTAAATTACACCCACTCCTAAGGTATCGTCAAATTACAAAAAAATATGTCCTGTTTGGATAATTACAATCATTCCTTGAACTATAAATCTTTTTACATATCCATTCTTGCGGTTTCAAATTTAGTGGAATATTCGAGATTATATGGAATATTATCACTTTTGTATCCATTGTATCCAATTCGAACTCCACATTTTGAAGCAAGATGATCATATTATGTGTTTTTTGTCTTGTAAATATTAGATTGTGGTGCATCATAAATTATATTTTTACACAAAACGAGTACAAACTAGAGCACATTCCATGAAATCTAGATGATTATGTTGAATTTGATACCATAAGGGTGGATGTGTAAGAAAAAATCATAGTTGAGAGGATAGATGTAATTATCAAAACAAGAGAAGTTTTTTCGTAAGTTGATCACACCTCAGGGGTGGTTGTAATTTACCCAAAAATATATGATTAAATTACGAATTACAAAAAGCAAATTGAAAACTTACTTTGGAGGCTAAATTGGGAATAATGAAGCTCGTAGCACACCGGATCACTACTCCCCATCAACGGCCGCCGCTTCTCCTTCACGTGAACGTCTATCGCCGCCTTCATCAGCTCCGCCACCGTGTTCTCCGGAAGCATCATGACCTGTACCGGCCCTAAACTGTTCTGGATATATACATTGAACAACACTTTTGTCAACCGCCGCCGCTCCTCTCCTCCTCCACCACCACCACCACCTCCGCCGTTATTCAGCCCTGATGACTCCGAAGAAGCTCCTCTTCCCACGCTGTAATTTTGGCGTTTTGGTGGGGATAATGAGTCCATGATACATAGATGGACTCAACTCCACCATTAATTTATAATTTATCCCTTATATTATACTTCTGTATTTATTTAATCCACCCAATTTTTATTAATTAATTCTTCCAAAATATATATAAATTAATGCAAAACCCCCTAATTTTTATTAATTACTCTGCCCAAAATCGAAATTAATGCAGAAGGCACCCTTAATTTTTTTTCTTTTCCTATTTTATGTTTTTGTCAAAAACAAAATTCACGGGTGTCACCCCCAAACCTCGAATTTAAGTCCATCCCGTGACAAATTCCTGGACTCGCGACTACGCATGTGAATCTTTGGATTTTGACGTAATCAAAAGAGTTTGAGATAAGGAAAGTTCTGCGAAGTTGATCGGGTTTTGTCTTTGTCGAGTAAAATATAGGAATATGACATTACAATTCATGACTAATAATTTAGAAACAAGAACCTTGTTATATTGCATACGAACAATTATTGATCAAATTATTGCAATATATTTAACACCTTAATTAATTTCAGGACATGATATTATAATCATGTCAGGAATCAACAAATAAAATTTAGGTTTGAACTAATTAAACAAAGAATTAAGGTTGGCCTGGGGTGGTGGCAATTAGGCACAAATATAATCCTAGCTAATTAATTAATTTGTGGGGGACTACAAAGTTCGTATCTTTTAATTAATTTAATTGGGTAGGTAATTGAAGACGGTAGAAACCGAAAGAAACAAGTAGTAAAGTGGATTCAAATAATTCGGATGTCGGACTCACATGGCATATATAAATTATATTCGTCACATTTAACACGTCATCTGTTATGATTTTTTTTTTTAATTTTTTTGAAACATTCAAATCTTGTTACAAATCAAATATTAGAATCTACTCTAACAGTAAAGACTAGATAACAACGCACCTAGTCACAACAGCAGTCATCTATATTTCATGATTAGACTTTAGAAAAAAACCTAAAAAATATTAGGAAATATTATTCCGATAATTCTGTATTTTTTTCCGAAATAATTATTTTCTAAAGCAAAATGATTACGAAAAAGGTAAAATTTAATTGCACTTGCAACAGTTTTGCATGTATTACCTAATAACGATGAATTTATCCACTCTCTCCAACTAAACCAAACAACCTGAGTTTTTGCTTAATAATTAAGTTCTTTTAGCGCTATGTTAATACGACGAACAATTGCAAGAAACCAAAAAATAGAAGAATCGTGTTAAACGATTTGAATAAGAATATCCATTGAATGAATAGGGAGAAAACGAGTTTCTATTGATTATAGAACGAGACAAGCAAGGGCGGAATCAGAATTTTCCGATTTTATGAGCCGAAATTTCTTAACTTGAAAACAATCTTCATACCTTATATTATGATTATATTACTCACATTAAAGATATGTAAGTCACATTAAAGAGATAAATTAAGAGAAAATAGTAGATACATAACTAGGCACACAATACTTCACATATGTCATTTTATTGATTTTCTTTAATTTATGTATAATTTCCTTAACTGTGATGGAAACTAGAAAATTAATCGAAAGAATTAGAGAATGAAATAATTTAGCATCATGACACTTTCTTTATGGCCTACTTCCACTTTGCACCCTTGAAATATACCATTTTAGCACTTTGCACTCTCAAAACAAATTATTAGTACTCTGCACCCGAAACACAATATATCATGTATAATGCACCCTAAATGAGTTTTTAAAGCTAATAAAGGTAATTTAATATTTTTAGTGGTATTTAAAAATTATAATTTTTATCATGAAAAAATATTATACGACAAAGAAATTTGTCCAGCTATTTCGTTATAAAGTTATCTGAAAATCATATTTTCTTCCAAATATTTCTACCTAATATTTCCACCAATTACAATAACATATCTATCAATCGAATATTTTTTTAATAAAAGTTTATTTGATTTTGATTTTGTAAGAATTTTTTTTTTTAATTATCCGATGTGATTTTTATTTTTTAACACTTTGAGCGTTCGAAATTAGATTGGAGGTTGAATAAAATAATAATTTAATTTGTTATTTTGAACCCGCGGAAAAAAAAAAAAAAGCAATAAAAATTGAATTATCATTTATTATTCAATTAAGGGTCCACTGTGAATGATTTATTGTGTTTTGAGGATGCAAAGTGTTATTATTATTTTTTAAGGGTGCAAAGTACCAAAAGGCTCCATTTCAAATGTGCAAAGTGGGATTAAGCCCTTTCTTTATGAGGAAATATCAACAACTTGGAGAGTAATTAATAGGAAAATGTAAATCATATCAATAAATTGTAATTGTGAATTTATCTTTAATATTTTACTTAATTAGAGAAATATATGGAAAATTAATAATAAATTAGCTAGAATACTCAGTTGGTTAGAGCGTGTGGCTGTTAACCACAAGGTCGGAGGTTCGACCCCTCCTTCTAGCGCCATTTCACAAATTTTTGAAACGTGAAACGTTAATCGGCCCAAACGAAATGTGGCCATTTTTAGCAACCAGAGTGATTTTCTTTTTTTTTTTTTTTTTTTTTTGATTTTTCCTTTTTCCAATCCAACAATAATCGTGGAGCATATAACCATCAACGAAGAAATGTGACATCTTGAACAAAAAGAATCAATGTCTTTGAAAAATATGTGACAAACATAAAGAAAAAGTAAAGGACTTTTGCAATTTCCATAGTCTGCATTTCAAATCATTAGCATCCATCATGATCATATACCACCACATTCATCCATATCACTCTTCACTTATCTTCACATGACATTTTTTGATGTCTTTTGCCCTACAAAATGATTGGAGATATATATCCCTTTTAAAAGCTATACAAAAAAAGAAAAGGAAAAATAAATGTGTTGTGTATAAAATAGAAAAATAGAATAGTGGTAGAATTTGAATAACGGCTAAGATTAAGTACCAATTCTCCTAAAATGAGTCGGGGCTCGGGAGAGATATATGGATTTAAACTAGGGGTGGAAATCGGACAGAATGGATCGGAAATACCTTTTTCGGAATTTTTCAATTTTTTTCGGAAGTTAAAAATAGGTTTCAATTTTCGTTCCAAAAAAATCGGAATTTCAAATAATTTTATATGTAATTCCAATTCTGTTCCAAAAATAATCGAAAAAATCGGAAGTCGGAATATTGAAATCGGAATGAAAAAAAGTGTTCCAAATTCGGATATTCTCGGATAACGGCTAAGATTGAGTATCAATTCTCCTAAAATGAGTCAGGATTCTGAAGAGATACATGGATTTAAACACTATCATGATAATGGGCGAACAACATTCACAAATTTTGCGGCGTGTGAATCCGAAAACTTACATTTTTAGATAATTATCGTGTGTGTATGTATATATAGTAAATGACCATATAATATGTATAGCTAAAGTCTATGTGTTAAAACTTTTATTATGACAACTTTGGGGGAATAATCAAGTGATTGATTGACCTATATGATCCTAATATAATTAGTGCATATATTTGAGATGCATTGCCAAAGTGCAACTATGTCTTTGTCATTGAATGTTTGATTGACTTCCCAATTGTGACTTTCACTTCTATATATTGAATTAGTGATGTTATTATATAGCATTATATATTAAGCCCTTACTTACCTAGTCCATTAATTAAAGTTCTAGCCATATTAAGAAAAGTGAGGGATGATATTGATGGTAATGTGAACTCGAGAAACAAGCGACAATTAAAATATATTTTATTGAGCCTTCATAGATTTATAAAATATGTATTATACCGTGTAACTTAAGAATTATTTGTATGCATTATTAATTTATATATTATATGGGCCTTCTTCAAATTTCAGAATGTGTATCATCTTATAAATTTAGCGAATTATTATTTTAGCACGTTGTTCCCGAGTAGGGACTGGGAAAATGTATTATTTAAGCGAGATTATTAATTTATCAAATATTAATTTATCGAGGTTCTACTGTAGTTGAATTAGTGTTGCATTTGAAAAGAACTTGAGCTGAAAATTTCAATTTTATAATTTAAAAAAATCATTGAACTAATTTGGATGAAATTTTCATGTGATAATGAATTTAAATCATTAAGTCTCAATTTGGATTAACATTCGAGTTATTATTCATTGTGCGGAATTTTTTGAGATGTTTTTTTTTCTAAATTAGTCAATTTTTC